CATTGTAAAAGAAGAGAAACTACCACACCAGCATGCTTCCCTTAAGGATGAATACCAGTAGTTGTTATTCTAGATAGGTATCAGTTACCTGGGTGGGGGATCAAGATCTTACTCAACCCTTCCAGGAAAGGTCCCTGACTTGCCACGTGACTTGCTTCCCCATTGGATCCCCATCTAATCAGTATTACCTAAGCCACTGTACTGGTCGTAATCTTTTTGGTTGATCATAGTTTTGTCCACCTTATGATTTCTCATTGGATCAGTATTACCTAAGCAACTGTACTTGCAATCTTACTAGTTGACTATAGTTTTGGCCTATCTTGAACCTGCCTCACCTTGTGGCTTTGTCCCATAAAACACCTTTGAGAAGCAGAGTCGGCAGCTAACCCATTTTCTGGTCCCCCTTCTGTTTCTTAGACAGAAACTATCTTTTTCTCAATAAATTCTTCCTACTCCTAAACTCCATTGTTCCTAAAATTCATTCTTTGATTTTAGAGAACAGGAACTCAAGTTTCCGATATCTAGCAGGTTTGGGAGTTATATCTATTCCCCCTATATCAGTAGCGCTTTTTATAATGGTCAAGAAGCAGAAACCAACCCAGATGCCCAACAACTTAGAAGTGAGTCAGTAGAACCTAATGTGTCCATACAAAGAAACTTTACAGTAAGATAAAATGAAGTGCATGCTTCTAATGACAGAAACACTAATATTAAACTAACATTTTATTAATGAAGAAGATAAGGCACATATGTAACTTACAGTCTAATTTGAGAAAGAAGAAAACTCAGGTGGCCTGGACTTCAGGGCTCTTATTTAACCCCACCTGTAATAACTGTCATTCTCATTGCTTTTACCCCTTCTTGCTTTCCCTTTTCTTCATGGCCAAACTATATGAAAGAGTGGTTTTCCTCTCATCTCGCCTCCCAGGCTGACCCCTACCCCCAGTGGAAACAGCTTAGGCACTGGTGCTTGCTTTCTTTATAAGCTCTTCGCTAAAACATAATTCATATGCCCTAAAACTCATGCTTTTAAGTTGCACATTTCCATGTTTTTAATGTGACAATCATGTAATGGGCCCTTTTCCTCCCCCATGTTCAGTCTTCAGTCCCTGACCTCTCCATGGCTTTTGGCATTGTTAGCCACACCCTCCTTAATACTCTGACCTTAGCCCTTTTCTCATTCTTCTCCTAATCACTTGATAGTTGTTTTTCAGTCTGAGCTTCTCCTTCTTTGCCTACCTTTAAAATGTTGATTTGGGTTCTTCTCCTTTTATACATTACCCCTGGGACATCGCATAGCCTCAGGAACCACTTGTGTTTGCATGGGGCTCACCAATTTCCATTCCATTTATTTATCCAACAAGTGTTTTTATCCACTTAGTGTGTTCAAGGATGTCTGGGACTTGAACTCTATGCTATTATTGAACCTATTTTCTGTTGAGAAGAGTCTGGCATTAGTAATCTTGTAATAAAGAAGGAACATTGTAGTTTTAAATGGTCTGGCAGTGGTAAGCTTTGTGGAGGTGCTGCTTTGTGAATTGTGACTTGAAGGTGCCGTAGTCAGTCCTGCAGCTATCTGCAGGAGGACATGCTGTGACAGGGCCGGAGCGGGGAGTAGAAGGGTACCAGAGAAAGGAGGGACCAGTGAGCTGAAGCTGAGAGATCCAGAGTGGTGCTCATCGGTGCTGTGTGACATAATAAAGGATCGGATCCAACAGGGCTTTGTGGCTTTGTAGACCATTGTAGGAACTTTGGCTTTTATTTTGAGTAGACTCAGGAAGGAGCACAGGACTTGGACTAGAAAGTGAACATGTCTAGTGGCGTTTTAAGTAACACTTCTGTGTTGAGAGCAGACTACACTGGGACAAGTGTTGAAGCAGAAAAACAAGAAGGCTACTGAATTGATGCAGTCTTCATGGCTGGTGAACCTGCCACACACATGCCGCAGAGGTCCTGTTTGTTATCATCAAAAGCTCTGAAAGGTTCGCCATCACTGTCCTATATCAGACTGGCATATTCAAATGCCAGTTAGCATACGTACTTGTATCCAAAACAGATAACTCAAATCTTCAAATTCATCACAAATTTCATCACAAATTTCAATTAATCACAAATTTCAATTCAAATTCCAAAACTAAGCTTGTCCTCTCTTCCCAGTTCCGTGCTGTAAAGCTGCTCCTTCCTTCTCTAAGTCCCAGCTGCCCAAAGAAGAGACACCTTGAATCTTCATGGGTTCCTTACCCTTTAGTCAAATGGAAGAGAAACACGGTTAAGTTATTCTTAATAGGGCATATGTTACTTTAATTTCATCCATTAATTAAATGTTTTTAGTTCTATCTTTGTGCTATCTGTGAATACCCAACATTACAGTTCTGTCATTTCCTCTAGAGATATGCAGGACACAGCTCTTTCAGGCTTTCTGCCTTGTGAGGCGACTGCTTCATTCACTTCTTGCCTGGTCTGGGCAGCCTGTTTCTCTTATTTACATTACTGATAGGCACTATGAGGTACTGTAGTCTGGCAGGGAAATTTGGGTTGAAACCTAGTTTTGTAACCTATTAGTTTTATGACTTCAGACAAGTCACTTAGTAATTTTGACCCTCAGTTTCTTAAAGGCAAAAGCATAACCAACTGTCAGGGCTGTTTTCAGGGTTAGAGATAATATTTCTAAAGCCCCGGTTAGATAGTAATCACTTGATAACTGATGATCCTTCCTCTAGACCACATGCTTCAAGACAGGGGAAAAGACCCAACTGAAGTTCACAGTGTGCAGTAGGTTGTTCTTTGTGTCATACAGTTCTGCAGGTTTTACCAGATGCACACGCCACGCATGCACCGTTACAACCCCATGCAGAGCACCTGCCCTACCTGGAAACCTCCTGTGCTGACTTGCCCAGTGCTCACCCAGGAAACGCCTGGAAACCATGAACTTTTCAGACTGGTTTCCTACACTTACTAGTTGAATGGATAGTTTTCATGGGATCAGTCTTCAACTTCTCAGCTTCTGTATATACTCTTTATTAACACTGGTCTAGCTAAGAGCAGTCTTCCTCTTACTACAGAAGGAAGACCTAACCTCCACCATCCCAAATCTTTCTATAGAATGTCGACTTGGAGTCATAGAAAATTTAATAACTTAAAATTTTCAACTAATGTGTTAAATTTTTGTTACAGAGGAGTATGTCAGGAAGAATAGAGTTTTATCTATAAAATATATTACAAAAAATTCTATGGGGAAGTGAGATGGAAATAAAAGTCAGGAAAATGGGATAAAACATAAAACAAGATTTTTGGCTGTTAAAAGACATGCTATTTGTATATTTTTTAAAAATGGATGATGATTATATTAAATTACGGATTTAAATTCTATTGAATATATTTAAAATAGTTGTTATGTTTAATTTTAATGTTAATTTTTCCAGTGGAGTAGAACTAAATTTCTTGAAAATACATATTTTACCATAGGGGGAAAATTATAGTTGTTAGGTTGGTAATGTGTGAGGGTTACATAATTTCTCAACAATCTTTTAAGAGTCTAGGAAGAAAAAAATTGAAGACTGGTAGCCTACACTACTCTGTAAAAGCCAAGTTTGTTAACTGGCTTATAAAATCCCTCATTACCTTCCTCCTCCTCTGATCCCCTTCCCCTTTTTAAAATCACTGGGTCCATAGCCTGTGTCCCGGCGTTTGCAGTCCCAGGTGAAGAGTGGTCCAGTGCCTGTGCACAGCACTGCACCTCCCGGGCTCAGCTCCTCCACACCTCCACCCCTGTCTTCCCTGCTGTACCTGACATGTGGCTCTGCGGTTAATTTACCGCGGTTAACTTACCTCCCCAACCTGAGCCACACCAGAGGGTCTTTGAGAGTAGACGCTGGGTTTTATTTTTGCCTCCTCAGCATCTAGCTGTATGGCTATGCTGGCAGTGAGTTAATTTATTGGACAAATGCTGTTAAGCAAGAAAGATGAATATCAATGGCTTGGAAATTAATTGTTATACCTAAGTTTTGTCCATTACACTTAGACCTCTTTTGTTTAACAGTAGTTGACTTTCTGACTATGATATTTACACTTACTGAAAAGGGTTCAGTAAGCTTTCACATGGAACCTAAAAATGACTCAGATCTCTGTCCTCAGAGGAGGAGTGTAGCTGTGGAGCAAGCAGCAAGGCAGGAACTCTAGTTCTGGGTCTAAGGAAGTTGCAAATGACACTCTGCAGCAAGTAGACTTTGATTCTTTACATTTGTGAAATACGTGACCAGATTATTTCCAAAGATTCCCTCATCTTTGATTTAATCAAGATAAAATTTTAATAAAGCAAACAAATGATAATCCTTGCCAAAAAAGTAAAAAATATAGACCTGGTTTATCTTATGATCATTCATACTATGAACATTATTGGTGCAGGTGTAGGTAATCAGCTTTTATTCAGATCACTTGAATACCTTACAGAGTCATGGCTTAGATTTTGTCCTTAATCTAAAAATACTAAAGTAAAATAATTGAAATTGTCATGATTACAAATCAAGTAAATATGTTGGGGTTGAGTCACATAATTTTCAGATTACCATTTAGCTTTTTTCACCACATATATGATTTTCCTATTAATATACTTTCTGATGTGTTTCTATCATCCCAGAAGTGAACTTATTTCAAAACATCTCATTGTATCCAGTTAGCCACCAAAGCCTTATTTTAATGAGGGCATTGTTAAAACAATTACATGGATGTTTTCTGGTTTGAGCACTCATAACATGTAATAATTGAGTTTTATAAAGAGTGATCGAGAGACACCGTAGGATGACTTGTGAAGGGTTTGGGATTGTGATGTTTGGCCAGAACAAAGGCAGTGTTTCCTCTCTTGTCTTCCTCTCCTACCACGCACTTTTCTCCACCTGCTTGAGGAAAGCAGTATTTCTGCAGACAAACCTCATAATTGCCCTTCTGTGCTTGACTGGGGGCTCAGAAAAGACCCACAGCATCTGTAAAGCTGGCAGAGAAATGGTATTTCCAGGCAGGCACAGGGTTGCTGGGTAGCGAGCCAATCCACAGCCTTGCCTACGCAGCTGAGAACTTTGCTGGCGATTACCACGGTGTCAGTAACACAGACCTGTGCCATGCGCGACTGAAGCACTCACAAGTGTGAGGGTCAATATTTATAGACCACTACACAGCTGCCCTGCAGAGGGAGACGGGGCAGCACGCACGCACGGGGCAAGAAGACACACTGCAGTGGAGGAACTTTAATTTCCAGTTTTTTCTGAAAAAGCAAACAAACAAAAAAACATTTTTTTTCACTGTCAGGTTCAGACTTCTGCTGAATCATAACCATTTGGCGCTGAGCTATGACAAGAGAGGAAACAAAAAGTTAAACCAGCAAGCCTGCCGTGCCAGAAGGTAAGTAATTAGCCAGTTCAATCTCGCCGGTGCTGTAAACTCCGCGTCCCTGCTGGGTGCTCTGCACCAGCAAACAGAGGGGTTGTGTGGTGCTGGGGCTGCGAGGCGGGGCTGCGGCTCTTGGAGAACGTTGCTGGCGGGTGCAGCTTTGTGTGTGCTGTGTACAAGCAGAGCGCACTTAGTGTGTGAGCAAGGACAGCTCTCCGATACTAACTGCAAGTTGTGTCCCGTCAATCAGTTTCTACCTCTCCATTCTCTCAAACTTGAAGTCTTCCAGTTGGTAAATTCTTATTGAAAATTGGCTTATTTTTCTATCAAGATAAAAACACCAGTATCAGTTAAATTTATAGTAATGAGTGGTGTAGAAATAGAATAGAGGAGGAGAGTTTAGACGAATGTGTGAAGGTAGAGCAGTGTCCAAATGTGGAAGGCATGAACATGAGCAACAGGGGTCTTTTATGCTTTAAAAAGTCTGTCCATTTGACAGTGCCCTGAGGGAGGATAGTCTTTCCATTGGGAACAGGGAGAACCAGGGCTGATGAGAAGAACTGTCTTCTTAATCTAAGGTCCTAAGGATTTAAACCTTTAAGAGACAATCTCTACTTGTTCAAATGACTTTTGGTTCTTTATAAACTGCATCTCCTTACTAAATAATAAAGTAAAAATCAACATCTCCTGCTTCATATATAACTTTGTCTCTCATTGCATATAGCACTTTAAACATGTTTCTGTGGAAGCTCCTAGTGCTATAGTATGTCCTTTATCATTACTGATCTTCATATCCCAGATTATCATTAAGAATAGTAATACAGAAGGAAATAGTTTCCTGGGTTTTTTCTGATTTAGAACACTCTTGAAATTTATATGCCTGTATGTCTTTGTCTGTTACCTATGGATTAGGAAGTTAGTGTCTTGCTTCACTAGAACTATGGCATTAGCCAGAAGAAATTTATTTACTGGCATAGTGAAAGTTCTCTTGTTTCTTACATTGTGGAACCTTTAACGTTAGTATGATATTTAAACATTTTTAGGTTAGGTTACGTATGATGATTACAGTTTCAAAGGGTTTTCTATACTTCATATTTAAAAGCAAGAATAATATTAATGCTGCTGTAGAGCTATCTTCTAGCACAGCTTTTGTTAGGGCTGCTGTGCTGAAACCAACTCATTCTGAAATGGGATAAATCTGATTAAAACAGCAGGTGGAATAGGGCTAAACGTAAAGTGAACACCTTACTGGGAGACCAGTAATTGTACAGTATCACTTTTGTTGAATGCATGTATAATTATTTAAATGATGCAAAGTGATTCAAAATAAAATTTATTTAACTCATGAATTCTGTGAAGCTAGTCTAATTTGTATATAAATGTAAAGTATCTCTTAACATTTATTGCTTGTTTTATCTTCTCCATCAAGCTTTCCCCTTTGTACTGCTTCAAGCTGTGCCTACAAGTTTATTAATGAGTTTTGTTTTGGATTTTTAACAATATATTTATTTTGAAAATGCAACTACAGTTGATCTAGAATGGGCATTCCTCAAAGAACATGCCTAATTACATACATCAGTAAATTTTTCTTTGCTACTGCCTTTGGGCAATATGTCATGGTTAAGACTATGATTTCAGTTCTTTATTCACTATCTTTTATCTTTGGTTTGTATGTTGTACAAATGTATCTTGCTCTTATCCCTTTTTATTGGTTTTATTTTTATTCTTTCTGGTGACTTATTTCTGGAGTACCATATTGAAACTTTGAGCAGGGTAAATATATCAGTGTAATAGAAACTAGAGAATCATTTCCCTTCCAACAAAAGGAAAAAAAGTAGATGATTGTGATATTGGATGATAAGGTCCAATATGGATTTTATATTAGTTGAGTGTTTTAAACCTTGAAATACCTTTTCAGTATTATTTTGGTCTCCATTGTCAATCCTGACATTGATTATTTATCATATTCATACATAACATTTTTATGCAGTCATATTATAAAAGTGAATGTAGGGCTTTTTGTATTATTTGTTAAGCGCCTATTGAAACAAGGAGAATGAATTTAACTTGAAGTGTAAACGTTCGTTTTCTCTTGGATCTCACGCTCCTGGTTCTCCTACCAACCCGTGTACTGCACCAGGGGCAATCTCCCACCTCCATGAGCAGGTCGCTCCTTCCAAAGACACTCCTGCCTGGGGCCTTCTGTTCCTCTCCTTGGTACTGTAGCATTTCTGATCTAGCTGCTATTGTGCTCTGTTCATCTTCTGCTATTCCTTTTCAGATGTTACCTATATCTCTCTTTTTGACCCATGAAATTATATTCCACTTTTCCTTTGTTTCATGCTGAAACAATATTCAGCATTCTGACATTTTGTATTTCTCGAAACAATCCACACCATGTTGATTCTTTCTGGAGGTCTAGCTTCATCCCTATCCCCCTCCTCTACCTTTTTTATGTTTTTATTTTGAGATGAGATCTCACTCAGTCACTAAGTTAACTGGGCTGGGCTGGAACTTGCCATCCTTCTGCCTCCCAGAGTGGTATCCAGAGCGCTGCAGTACAGGGATGAGCTCCCACATCCAGCTTCTCACTGCATCTTGGAAGCCCTTTTGCTAACTTTGCCTGTCAGGCTCGGTGGAGGCCTCTGTTCCCAGCACCCCTAGTCAGTCCGCTCAGCTCTGATGCTTGGCCTTCCGTAAGTATTTGTCACAGTGCTTTGTAAAGGTCTATATTATGTTTTGTGCTCTTCTTTCTAAAAAAGACTGTAAGTTATTTGTAGCCAGATTTTAAAATTTATTCTTTTATGCTCAGACAAGACCTAGAATATAACAAGTTTTCCAGAATTTGAATGAAACATAAACTTTAGTATTTTTGTTATAAACTTTTTAAATAGTCCTTTATATTAACATATTTTAAGACTTGGATGGAAAGTGCCTCAATTAGTACATGCTTTGGGAGCCATAGCAGTGCTTTTTTTGTTTGCGTTTTTTGAGTCAAAGTCTAACTTTGTAGCCCAGGCTTGGCTCAAACTCATGGTGATCCTTCTGCCTCAGCCTGCCTACTGCTGAGACAACAGGCATGCACCAGCATGGCCAGCAGTAGTGCTTTTTTAAATTATTTTATTTCTCTTTCTAGCATCAGTCACAAGTGTGTGTGTATGAGTGTGTTTTGGTGCAAGTAGATATTTGTTGAACAAAAGTGCAACATTGTTAGCAAATGCAAATTCAGGACAAATAGCCACACAGTATTATTACTTAATTAATTTGATAGAAATGTCAGTATAGCCAGCTAGTTGCTGCTGTTCTGTGGTCCTCTATAATAAACTAAATGATGTCCCAGCAAACAGAGCAGTGTCACCTTCCAAAGGGCCCAGGAAAACTTTAGAGGAGAATAGGTCCAGCCTCATGAATCCTGGAGAGAGTGAAGTTGCTCCTGATGTTACCGATAAAGGAACACCTTTAAATTTTATTTACTGTTGAAGAGATGGTTAGGGATGTTAGAAAATCAGAGCTTAAGAATTCCCAAACCTGAAAGGTGATACTCCATTTCAGTCAAAAGAAGAATTTGCTTCTCAAAATAGAAATGTTGAAAGAAAAGGAAGTCGGTGTTTAAAAAAGTAGTTGAGAAATAGCAGCTGTTTCTTTCATCTCTGATACTCATTAAAAATAAATTTGTTTTGTCTTTAATTATGTTTTATTTTACCTATCATACATAAAGTACTTACTTTACATACGGAATATTTTGTATACCAGAGACACACGTAAAATTTCACAGACAATTTAGAGGAATTTAAAGTTCTTCTTGTTTTGATTATTTTTACTTCTTAGTGTAATCTACCAGCACTTTCCACTACTATTTAAGTCTTAGAAACCTCTTCCAGACATTGAATATGACTCTTTTGTTTGCTTAACCTTGAGTTGTATCTGTCTCAGGAATGAAAACAAAACTGGTGTTTTTATAGAAAAATTTGGCAACCTTTTAATTGGTTGGAATGGTCCATAATTTCACTTGAAATTTCTTTTCAGATGTATTTTGTCCACATAACTACCCAGTGGTAAAACTGATATGGAGAAAATGCCTTACCAAAAGGTTCAAGCTATAAACTTTATAGATCTTACTGGCATATCAAATAGTACACGTTACAAGACTGAGAGAGTGGAGATTTCTTTGATCATGGATGTAGAAACATGTGTAGCTTCTGTTAGCCGGTGAGGACAGAAACCCAGGCTTGCCTCCATGTTTAAAGATTATAGCAAAAACAAACATAGACTACAAAGCACCACTACCACTACGAAAAGGTCAAAGATCTTTGTGGTTGGATTTAGGCATAAAGGATTTTACCAAAACAGTAAAGTCTTACTCTTCGCAGCTTACCTTGCCAATCAGAAATTTTTTTATAACTATGCTTGGCATAGAGTTCATAAAACCTGAGTAAAGAAGAAGAAATTAACTATGAAAGTGGAACCTTAAAGTCTTTCTTCAACTCCTTCATGTTGTAAATAGGCAATTGTGGTACAAGTGGGTAATGTAACTTGCCAAGTATCAGCTTTTATGGTAAGCTAGTTAAGCTTTGGATTTTAAGAAAGAAACAAATAATTATAAGCCTAGTGTTTTATTAGTGTAGATTTTCTTATTTGATTGTAATTGCTTTATTTTTATTCTGTATATTGCACTTAAAGCTTAATTTGTTGTATTTTTGTATTTTGTTCTATATTAGACTCTTTTGCATTATTTCTTAATTCCTGAAAGTGAAAGCTAGTAGTTATTGTCTTTAAGTGAGATGGAGTATTTTTTTACTTAAAGATACTTAAAATGTTTCTCTTCTAATGGTAGACAGCCTTGTGGTTCTTCTGCTTTTGGCCGTTTTGTTTGGTAGAACAGTTCCATTTATGGCCATCAACTTTTCTCCTTACTGCAGAACTTGGCAAGATGTTAGTCAGCTCTCCATCGCTGTGACAAAGTACCTGGGGTAATCCTCCTCAAGAGCACAGACTTACTTTGTTCATGGTTT